CTTGATGTGAAGACTATTTTCCCCCATGGTGACATAGATGATGAAATTTATATGGAGCAACCAGAAGACTTCACAATTAAAGGGAAATAGGGTATGGTGTGTCGACTGAAAAAGAACTTGTTTGGGCTTAAATAGGCACAAAGGCAGTGGTATAAGAAGTTTGATTCTTTTATAGTTGACCATGGTTACATCGGGACTATTACTGATCATTGTGTATTTGTCAAGAAATTCTCAGATGAAGAATCTATCATTCTCTTGATTTATATGGATGATATGTTGATAGTTAGTTGTGACATTAAAAAAATTGATGCTATGAAAGATTTGGGACCAGGAAGGTAGATATACTCGATATGAAAATCTCTCGAGACAAGAGCAAAGTAAAATTGTGTNTCCTGAATTTAGTTCATTTTGATGTCTACTTCATGAAAGCAAAATTTCTAGGTGGTGCATTATATTATTTGACTTTTATTAATGATCACTTTAGAAAAGTGTGGACATCTGCTTTAAAAACTAAAGACCAGGTACTTGATGTATTCAAAGTTTTTCATGTGAAAGTTGATAGGGAGACAGAAATGCAACTAAATTGTGTTCGAGCAGATAATGGTGGTGAATACTAAGGACCTTTTGAAGAGTATTGCAGAAACCATGATATCAGACTTGAGAAGACTGTTTCAAAGACCCCACATCATAACGGAGTTGTAGAGAGAATGGATAGAATAATTTGTGAGAGAATCAAATATATGTTCTCTCATGCAAAATTATCTACATATTTTTGGGGTGAGGCAACGATGAAAACTATTGATTTAATTAATCTTTCCTTGTCAGCTCTTTTGGATGGTGATATTCTTGAAAAAGTTTGAACATGTAATAATGTTTCTTTTAAGCACTCAAGAGTGTTCCGTTGCAGGGTATTTGTACACATTCCTCAAGATGAGAGATTCAAGCTTGACAATAAGACGAACTAGTGTATCTTCTTGGGTTATGCACATAAAGAGTTTAGTTACAGATTGTGGGATCCAGTTGGTAGAAAAATTTTCAGAAGTAGAGATGTTTTTTTGAAGATTAGACCATTGAAGACTTGGAACAAGCTAAAACTCCAAACTCTTTCAGTGAAGAACTTGTCGATTTGGGTTAGTTTCTCCTTCACCATTATTCATGTTGATCACGGGGGAGATGTCCAAGAAAAAAAGGTTGATAAAGGTAATGAAATTGGTGAAACAACAGTTGATGTTGATGAAGTACTTGTACTTGATCCTATAGAACCAGAACATCCAGAGGAAGGCTTTCCTAAGTTACCTCAACATGTAGAGCCAGCTCCTTTAGAACCACATGTTGAAACTTAGTTAAGAGTAAGAGAACTCTCGAGAATAAATGGGTGTTCACATTGAAGTTGAACCAAAATAGCTCACAGTCCATGTACAAGACTGGTTTTGAAAGAATCTGGTTAGAAAAGGGCATTGATTTTGAAGAAATTTTCTCACCTATGGTAAAAGTGTTTTCTATCAAAGTTGTTCTCGGCTTGGTAACCAGTATGAATTTAGAGATTGAGCAGCTTGATGTGAAGACTATTTTCCCCCATGGTGACATAGATGATGAAATTTATATGGAGCAACCAGAAGACTTCACAATTAAAGGGAAATAGGGTATGGTGTGTCGACTGAAAAAGAACTTGTTTGGGCTTAAATAGGCACAAAGGCAGTGGTATAAGAAGTTTGATTCTTTTATAGTTGACCATGGTTACATCGAGACTATTACTGATCATTGTGTATTTGTCAAGAAATTCTCAGATGAAGAATCTATCATTCTCTTGATTTATATGGATGATATGTTGATAGTTAGTTGTGACATTAAAAAAATTGATGCTATGAAAGATTTGGGACCAGGAAGGTAGATATACTCGATATGAAAATATCTCGAGACAAGAGCAAAGTAAAATTGTGATTATCTTAGGAGATCTATATTGAGAAGGTGTTAGATAGATTCAACATCGCCAAGGCAACACCAGTGAGTTCTCCACTTGCAGGTGACTTTAAGTTAAGTTCCAAGCAAAGTCCTACAAGTGAGAAAGAAAGGGAAGAGATGAATAAAGTGGTTTATGCCTCATCCGTTGGTAGTTTGATTTACGCTATGGTGTGCAAGGACCTAATATTACTTATGCTGTCAGAGATGCTAGTCGGTTTTTCTCTAATCTGGGTAAAGAATATTGGGATACAACGAAATAGATTCTAATATATATCAGAGGACTTTCTAGAGTTTGTTTGTATTTCAGAATAGGTAAGCTTATGCTTGATGGGTTCGCAGATACAGATAAGGCTGGGGATATTGACTCTAGGAAGTCTACTTTAGGTTATCTGATTACTTATTTAGGGGGAGCAGTATCATGATAGTTTAAATTATAGAAGTATGTTGCTTTTTCTACCACAAAAGGCTGAATATATTGCTGCTATTAAAGCTAGTAAATAATTGCAGTGGATGAAGAAATTCTTACAAGAATTGAGTTTACAATAGGAGCAATGTGTTCTCTATTGTGATAATTAGAGTGCTATCCATCTTAGTAAAAATCTAACCTTCCACTCAATATTCAAGAATATTGATGTGAGATATTATTGAATCCTTGATGTTTTGGAGACGAAGCTATTGTAATTTGAAAAAACTAATATTGATGAGAATAGATCAAATATGATGACTAAATCATTGCCTAAATAGAAACTCGATGTTTGTCGATGGTAAACGGACTTGATTGAGCCCTCCACATGAGATAGAGGGGGAGATTGTTGGAATTTGGGTCCAACCCATGTAGGTAGCCCATCCCATAGTTCATTGGTTAAAACCCATTAGTTAAAAAAAATTGTTGCTTTCTCGAATAACGTGATCAACCTTTAACCATGTGAAGAATACACTTAGAACTCGTTTGGTAGACGTATTATGAAAAAATTAAATATTAAATTGTACTATTTTTTATTTAATCGGGCCAAATACTTTGTTTGGTAAGAAAATTTGATACCGTATTAATTTCAAAAACGTATACTTATCATATACTTTTTATACAATAGACTTGTATTATGGAGGTTTTCAATACCACAAAAAGAAGTGGTATTATAATTCAACCCAAACGTTTTGTTCTACATATTTACTCTTATAACCCCTCAGTGATAAATTCAAGTTGTCATCAATATAACAAACACTGATTGAAGGTATTTTTGTTAATTCAACATTAATACGATAAAATAATTTTGTAACTAAACAACCGATTGAATTAAATAAATAATATTCAATGCTTATATTATGTATTGTCAAACACTAGATAAAATTACGTATTATTCGAATACCATATTTAATCTCCTCTTTAATCTATCTGTATTGTATTAGACTGTATTACTTTATTTAATCCATCCATTTTTAATACGGCAACCAAACGAGCCCTTAGTATTATATTAGGTTGTCATTGTAGGCTTGATGAAAATGCGAGGTGGCAAAAAAAGTAAAAAAAGGATAGTAGTTTTTTTGTGTAGACCAAAAAAATGAGAAGACGAAAAGAGTTGTTCGCATATCTCTTTGAGCCAAAATTCAGGTAAGAATTCAACATTCGTTTTGATAAAATTTTAATATGTTGTTTAGAATAACGGAGACTATGCAGTGATCAATTTATATTTTTGAAAGCATTTTCGGATTGATATTTTGCAAGACCTATCGGGTGAGATCTCTTGTTACTTTTGTTGATACCTATTTTCGGGTGATGAATTATTGATACTTTGATAGTTTCTAGGAATTGTTTTGCAGAAGATTTTTGCAAACTCATTATTGGATTGTAGTGAAAGGTTGAGATCAGAATTCGTAGATGTACCTCAAGTTTGGGAGAACCATGTAAATTTTGTGTCTTACTTATGATTGATTTTATTATTCTCTTTAATTGTCGGTTGATTGTGTTTGGTACATTGCTGATTTAATTTGTATAAAGAGGGGTAGAAAAACTAATTTCACTATTTTTTTGAGTTCACTCTATCAAATACTTTTGTTATAATCCTATGTATCTAACAGTTTATTATCTAGGGTAGATAGAAAAGTATGGCGGTATTAACATATAAGTTCTTGAAATCAAATTACATCGTCACCAACTACGGCGCGTCACAACAAAAATATAATCAATGGACCACCAAACAAAGGTCACACATGATGGAGAGGATCATACACCATATTTGTTGATCCCAAAATCTGCACCACAGGAATGTGGGATGATCGGGCAATAAAGCAACACTCTTTTCGATCCACTTTAAGAAGCAGAGCTCACGTGCCAAGCTTGAGAGCACGTGGTAGGCTCACGTGCCAAGCTCAAGCCCACGCGTTGGGCTTGTAACTAATTCATGCTCATCAATATTTATGTTACACTCTTTTCGAATAGGTTAAGTTTTTAGTTGAGATTGTTGATCAACATCAAGTGTCCCACACAAATTGAGAATATGAAAGAAAGAACCAGATACGTCAAGAGGAGATCTGCCCTAAAAAGATTGACAATTAGATAGGACCTCCTTGAGCCATCAAGGGTAACACTCGGGGGCTGTTGGGGAGAGGGAGAGAGAAGGGAGAAAAGAATGCCAATGATAATAATGGAGCTTCGGTTTTCATGAATCAGTTCATAGATAGGTGATATTTTTTACAAAGTTAGATTATTCTTTGATGATTTAGAAAATATGCTTCTTACAGATTCCCACAAAACGAATAAAGTTGTTTTCCCTCCTCTATATCAATTTATGACAGTATGAAGACAAGACATGACTAGGTATGATTGATCCAAGTCTCAATTCCCTTTTTTCCCAGATAGTGACCATCTAACATCAAAGATCAGTAAAATGATTCNTATGAAGACAAGACATGACTAGGTATGATTGATCCAAGTCTCAATTCCCTTTTTTCCCAGATAGTGACCATCTAACATCAAAGATCAGTAAAATGATTCACATCAGGCAAGCTATTTCTTATGTGTGTGTGTGTGTGTGAGAGAGAGAGAGAGCGAGAGAGAGAGAGAAAGTATCAAAAAGCAGGCACGTGAAGCCCAAGCTGTCATCAGCCATTCCACCAGAATAAGAACAAATTAACATAACATCAGTACTGCCACCACTACAAAAAAAACCCAAACACAATGGCCCCTAGCCTATCCTTCACCTCTGTCCACCATGATTGTACTCAGATTTCCCCACCATGTTACCAAGTGCTCATCACATCTCTGAAGGGAGAGAGAGAGAGAGAATCTCTCAATTCCTGGCCAGAAGTGTAATTCTTTTAAGCATCTAGAGGTAAAAATAGGGGAGAGAGAATCTATCAATCCATAGCGGGAAATGTTAATTCTTTGCAGCACCCATTAATGTGGTAAAGCTGGAAAGATATTCTTCTTGCTTGGTTTGTGTTTGTCTCGCTGCCTCTTTCTCATCAGCAAACTCCTCCAAGACAAGCACCCCCCTTGCCTGCACCTGCACATTTGCTTCACTTTCTTTGTGTCCTCTTGCTTTCTTGCTTCTTTCACTTCCACCTGCAGTACTCGCATAGATACCCGTGCACGCGCAGTATCAAAAAATAAGATGAGGCTCTTTTGATAGTCCTCACGAAGTATAGTTTTTGGACCACAATTTAAAACGACTGCAACATAGAAATTTAAAAATGAACTTCCAAAATTTAATTTCATCCAAATTTAGCACCACCACTGAGTGTCTTATCATTTGGTTTCAATTTTCGAGTAGTCCACCACTATCCAATTGCATGTTATTTGGTACCACATGATAGATTTTGGCTATTGATTCAATTTAAAAGTTGACTATCTAAACTTTGTTTCAGTATTGTATTGTGTTTTATTAAGAATCAAATTTTTACTTAGTCATAAATTATCTATATATTTTTTATATTTTCCTGAAAGTTTATTATGGTCTTTCGCTATCTTTCGTCTACGGTCAACAGCTATTACGTCAATTTTTCTCACGGTTTCGTAGTAAGCCGTCTAATAAAAGGGACAAATTCTAGCTAACTTAGAAAATTTTGTATAGTTGTTTCCTTGTTGAAATTGTATCTTAGGTTAAAAAAGGAATGAGCAAATGTCATTGTAGTGAAGTTGACTGCCTGAAAACTTAAAGCTAGATGGACAACAATCCGCTTGTCATNGTTAAAAAAGGAATGAGCAAATGTCATTGTAGTGAAGTTGACTGCCTGAAAACTTACAGCTAGATGGACAACAATCCACTTGTCGTNTATCTTAGGTTAAAAAAGGAATGAGCAAATGTCATTGTAGTGAAGTTGACTGCCTGAAAACTTAAAGCTAGATGGACAACAATCCGCTTGTCATTGTCACAAATAAATGTTACCCGGAAGCACAAGAAATTCTTTAATGGGTTTAAAACACCCCATGTGATCTACATCATTAAAATCCACTTATCATTTTGTTAGAATTCTTTTTAAAATGCTAACTTGTGTATTTTACATGCTATTTTTGTGCCAACTTTTTATTGAGTGTGCACACTATATATATGATAGTGCCACATGGTGTGTTGAACATACAGAAAATCTTCTCCGGAAGCACAGACAATCACAAGAGTATTTGCTACAAAAGCCAGCCATTTATGTTTGGTATTGGGGCCACGTACTATATTTATTCAACAGTGCTTGGGGGACCAATTTTGAGTTCCCCATTTGGGATGGGCACTATGTGTTTGTATGAACTGTCTGATCTTGAGGGGAGACAGTGATCAATATATGACTCAAAACATCCACAGATGGCAGAAGAGTCAGTAGATCTGGACGTCCAGTTGGATCAAATTCTATATTCAAATTTGAATGCACAAAACAAATATATATATATAATTCTATTATAATATATATGGGCAAAAATCTACTTCCATTTAGTTTCTCNTGATCAATATATGACTCAAAACATCCACAGATGGCAGAAGAGTCAGTAGATCTGGAAGTCCAGTTGGATCAAATTCTATATTCAAATTTGAATGCACAAAACAAATATATATATAATTCTATTATAATATATATGGGCAAAAATCTACTTCCATTTAGTTTCTCTTCACTTATTAGCCACTTCACTTATTAGCCAATCTTAAGCCACTCGTTGGCTTTACCAGCTTTTGTAACGTTCTAACAATTCAAATCTGAGTAAAAACAACTATTTCTCTCTCCGGTTGTCGATTACAATAAACCAAAAACAACTATTTCTCACTCCTAATAGTTTGATTTAATTTGTTATTGACACTGAATTAATTTAATAGCAACCAAGTTAATTATAACAACAAATTAGACAATTATCTCCGATTCATATTAGTCTTCTTTTCTATGCAAGAAACGNATTAATTTAATAGCAACCAAGTTAATTATAACAACAAATTAGACAATTATCTCCGAATCATATTAGTCTTCTTTTCTATGCGAGAAATGNATTTAATTTGTTATTGACACTGAATTAATTTAATAGCAACCAAGTTAATTATAACAACAAATTAGACAATTATCTCCGATTCATATTAGTCTTCTTTTCTATGCAAGAAACGATATTGATGCTTAATTTAGGGATTTGACTCATTATAACCATTGTACAAATAACATTTAATCCAACAACTATTATTGATTAGGTCCTTAAATTATCCCATTTCCACGTCTTCTTGATAGATAAGAGACATTTCAAAAGCAAAATTTATTGGATAAACCTGGAAGAAATTACCTCATCCTCAGACTTCCCTTTTGCACTAAAATTAGATGAATACCCGCCTTCTGCTTCGCTGCACTTTATCGACCTTTCTTCAATGGAAGGAGTGGGAGCAGGACTAGGACTACTTGAACTAAGGTCCGGTGGTGTGCTCTGAGTTCCCACATCTCTGGTCATGCTCTCCCTTTTCTTCTCTAGAGAGAGTAAACATTGCCAAGTAATATGTAAAATAAAAGAATAATGCTAGAGAAGAAGTGGTGAAAGCTGCATTAATTAGTCTAGCATGGGCAGATATGAAACAAACTTTAATGAATCTTTTTATCGAAGAATCAAAAAAACCAGGGTTTGGATTGTCACAATCATAATTTGATGTAGTGAATCATTAAAGATTGATCCGAAATCTAATTCAAATCTCATCTATGATGGAGAAAAGCAAAGTGTTTGGGACCTTGTTTAGGAACGTGAACTTCATGCGCAGGCGTAGTGACATAAGGTTTTGAATGGATGAGCCGCGAGTGAGAAGGATAAATAAGAGGCGCAGACATTGTAATTCTACTCGTTAAGTGGCGAAACGATCTTCCACTGAGTGTCTTGGCAGACAAACACTCCATTGGAACTTCTCCTGAGAGTGGGTTGCATATGTATTTCTCTGCCTCGTTCCATTTGGAATTGAGAGCAAACCCATCCGGTGATAAACACTCCCAAGTGTTAATCGTTCTAGCCTGCAAAGCTGCGTTAAAAGTACCATATGATCCAAGTAAGTGAAGCGGTAAAGCGTTAATCTTCATTATCATAATAACCACGATGTTATTTGGTCAAACTCATTTAAAGTCCGATTGCTTCTTTTTATCTAGCCAAGTAGAAGATGGTTTTAATAAAAAAAATATAAAACTCGGCTAGTTGCAAAAGACTACTCTTGGGTATCGGATAATGCTCACCATTGAGGGCAGTGGTAAATGAGTACGTTGATGGGTCGATTTCCTCTGCAACAAGATCATATTAGTTTGTGAACAAGTACTCAAAACCCAAGTATTTCTGTGCCACACACAGGGTGTGTGTATGTGTGTGTGTGAGAGAGAGAGAGAGAGATTGGGCACCTCTTACTAGGTATCCAGGAGAGGAAGCGGTGCTAGAGATGGTTATGTTTGATCTGAAAGACCTTGTGTCTTCCCTGAAACTTCTAAGATTTGAAGCTGAAAACCTTCTTGACCTTGTATTTTCTCGGCTGATTCGAGCCTTGATTGTCCATTCCTTTAAGCTGAACTCAGGCTCATCTTGTAGCTTTGAATTTGAAGGAGGTTGTTCCATGATGGAGGTCATGAACAACCTATAGATATAATTGTGGGGTTTTGTTGTTTCAACTTTCAACTTCATCTTCTCAACTTGTTGCATATACGTTTATAAGTGTAAGTTAAAAAACTTTCAAATTTTTTTAGTATTATTTATTTTTCTTTCTGCTGGGTGAGTTAGCACAAATTTAGCATGGACCACAAGGTCAGTGGTACAGAGAATACTACCAATTTAGAGTCAAGTTTAATCTATAATGAAGTACTCCTTTAGCAATGAATGGGAAGTTTTGTTAATGATTCATAATCATTTTTGGGCACAAAATGTAAAGAGTGGATGTACCTTCCCTGAAAAACCTTATAATTGATGGCTCTTCGTGCTAAGAACAATGGCCTTCCTCGATGGAATAACTCCCCAGCCTACTGATCATACAGATCCATTTTACAATTAATGAATTTGCTGCAATAATATGGTAATCTCTTAAATCTTGAACACTTTATCGAAGAATATTGCAAAAACAGTGTTATATATAAATTATGCTAAGGAAATTTAGGATTAGTTGAAGGAAATGTTTTCTCAGATAAATGGATGTAGAGTTTTTCAACTACAGAAATCGATTTCTTCTCTATCTCAAAAACAATTATCTACTAATTCTTACTACACACGTTTCAAACAATTTTGGGATGAGTTGGTGAATTATCGCCCTCTACATATTTGTTGTTGTGGTGCTTTGAAGAAATTGGTCGAATATTAGCAACAAGATTATACAATTCAGTTCTTAATGGGATTGAATGATTCGTATAATCATATTCAAAGTCAAATTCTATTGCAAGATTCCTCCACCTATCACCAGGGTTTTAATTTTTGATTCTTCAAGAGGACAGGCAACGGGAAATCACAGTTTCTGTGATCCCAAACATTGACTCTGCTGCTCTTTTTAGTCAATAATAGCATCTTGACGGGGTGTGTTGAAGATTGAAGACAAGAGGATTAGTTAGTTAGCTGGGATTCACAGAGTTAGTTAGAGTCTGTATTTAATCAATACTGCATTTAGTTAGTTCTAGCTTGATGTAATTAGAGGTGGTGATCATGTACCCCTCCAATATTAATACAAGTGTGAATATGCAAATACATGTGAATGAGAATACATAGGCTTGTTTGGTTTGCGTTTTTAAAAACAGTATGCAAAAATAATTTTTGGAAAAGAGTTTTAAGAAAGTATTTTTTGATATTTTTATTTTATAAAACCTGTTTGGTTATATAGTTTTGAAAATAGTTTTAAAGAATAAAAAATAATAAAATCTATTTGGACAGTAATCTAAAAAACCAATTTTTAACTAATCATTTCTGACAAAAAAAAAAAATCACTACAAAATTCTTCTCTCTCTAGTCAGGCTCACGTCTACAGAATTCTCTCTCTCTCTCTCTCCATTATCTTCTCCAACAGCAAAGACATACACACCCACACAACAAACACACACCCACACATACAACACACACACACAACTATTGTGCACGCACACACACACCCGCACAATACATATATACACACACACACACACACAAATCTGTGTAAATATACAAATCTGAACATATATATATCTACACACACACACACACAGAGATCTGTGTATANTTTTATTTTATAAAACCTGTTTGGTTATATAGTTTTGAAAATAGTTTTAAAGAATAGAAAATAATAAAATTTATTTGGACAATAATCTAAAAAACCAATTTTTAACTAATCATTTCTGACAAAAAAAAAAAAATCACTACAAAATTCTTCTCTCTCTAGTCAGGCTCACATCTACAGAATTCTCTCTCTCTCTCTCTCTCTCTCTCTCTCTCTCCATTATCTTCTCCAACAACAAAGACATACACACCCACACAACAAACACACACCCACACGTACAACACACACACACAACTATTGTGCACGCACACACACACCCGCACAATACATATACACACACACACACACACACACAAATCTGTGTAAATATACAGATCTGGACATATATATATCTACACACACACACACAGATCTGTGTAGANACTATTGTGCACGCACACACACACCCGCACAATACATATATACACACACACACACACACAAATCTGTGTAAATATACAAATCTGAACATATATATATCTACACACACACACACACAGAGATCTGTGTATACACACATAGATTTGAACATATAAATATATGTATACACACATACACACACATATATATACACACAAACATAGATCTGTGTATATATATAGATCTATGTTCAGATCTCTATATATACACAGATTTGTACATATACAGATCTGTTGCAGAGAGAGAGAGGCGAAATCGATTGTGTGTGAGACAGAGGAGAAGAATTGCATGAGAGAGAGAAGGCTATAGTGAGCGGTGGAGAAGCAGAGAGAGAGAGTGATATTGGGGAGAGAGAAAGACAAAAAACGTAGAGACAAAAAGTCAACAAAAAATGCCTATTATAGCATGAACTTATTTGCTACTAAAAAGGTTTGAAAGGAAGATCTCATTAATGAGTAAATGATGTTCTCCGTGTTTCTCTTTTTTCCTTCTTTTGTCTCCAAAACACCCGAAAACAAACTGGACTTGTTTTCAGTTTTTACAATTGAAAGTAGAGATTAAACTCGGATAACTAAAAAACAAAAAGAAAAAAAATACAAAATTATAAAAACAAACTATACTTAAAAGGAAAAAAAAAACAAGAACATTCTTAGCAAAATTCTTTTTGTTCTGAAAGTAAGACNGATCTCTATATATACACAGATTTGTACATATACAGATCTGTTGCAGAGAGAGAGAGAGAGGCGAAATCGATTGTGTGTGAGAGAGAGGAGAAGAATTGCATGAGAGAGAAGGCTATAGTGAGCGGTGGAGAAGCAGAGAGAGAGAGAGAGTGATATTGGGGAGAGAGAAAGACAAAAAACGTAGAGACAAAAAGTCAACAAAAAATACCTATTATAGCATGAACTTATTTGCAACTAAAAAGGTTTGAAGGGAAGATCTCATTAATGAGTAAATGATGTTCTCCGTGTTCTCTTTTTTCCTTCTTTTGTCTCCAAAACACCCGAAAACAAACTGGACTTGTTTTCAGTTTTTACAATTGAAAGTAGAGATTAAACTCGGATAACTAAAAAACAAAAAGAAAAAAAATACAAAATTATAAAAACAAACTATACTTAAAAGGAAAAAAAAAACAAGAACATTCTTAGCAAAATTCTTTTTGTTCTGAAAGTAAGACCCTTATATCCTAACCCCACCCAAAAAAATTAATATCACACGCACCCATATATTACATATTTAGTATATAATACTTGTGACTGTGGGAGGAGGGACTTGTTATGCACACACATCTGAAGGTAGGAAATTCACTGCTCTTCACCTCAGCAGTTTGATCATTCTTATTCGAGTCGGTGCCGTTGGATTTCAAATTACAAAATTCTCGGTGGAATTATGACCAAAAAGTAATATTGAAAATTATGTGTTTTCGAGATGTTTCAAAATATTTTTAAAGTATTTCAACTAATATTTTGGATCAAGTTTTCAAATTNTTACAATTGAAAGTAGAGATTAAACTCGGATAACTAAAAAACAAAAAGAAAAAAAAATACAAAATTATAAAAACAAACTATACTTAAAAGGGAAAAAAAAAAAAAGAACATTCTTAGCAAAATTCTTTTTGTTCTGAAAGTAAGCCCCTTATATCCTAACCCCACCCAAAAAAATTAATATCACACGCACCCATATATTACATATTTAGTATATAATACTTGTGACTGTGGGAGGAGGGACTTGTTATGCACACACATCTGAAGGTAGGAAATTCACTGCTCTTCACCTCAGCAGTTTGATCATTCTTATTCGAGTCTGTGCCGTTGGATTTCAAATTACAAAATTCTCGGTGGAATTATGACCAAAAAGTAATATCGAAAATTATGTGTTTTCGAGATGTTTCAAAATATTTTTAAAGTATTTCAACTAATATTTTGGATCAAGTTTTCAAATTTTTCTTTGTTTCCATTTTATTTTCGAAGTGATTTCAAAATGCATTAGAAAAATTGTTATTTTTTGGGTGACTAAAATAATACAACGTTATTATTTGTCATTTTTTAACCTGAAAGTGGTGAGGTAGAATGCAAAAACTAGGATGAACAATTGACTAGAGGCTTATAAGAAGTGTACAAAATAGAGCGTAGAGTAAGAATTACCTTGTAAGTACTGAAAGAGAAAAAAAATTATTCTGTTAGTAAATAAAAAGCATAAGTCTGAGACAGAAAAAAAAATATAAGAATAAGAAGACTAATTCACATACCGACCCATCAAAACATACGAGGGGCCCTACGCAATGGTCTATTTGGCCATACATGTCAGCCGGCCTTAGATTCTAAATCCTATAATATTATCATACGTTTTTTTTTTTTGGTTCAAAATTAGGAAGTTTTGAAAAATCCTTTAGCTTTCTTTCAAAGATGATTTCTCTCCTAACTAGCTTACTACCCGAGAAACTCCTATTGCTCTGACCTTATTGCTAATCAAATGTGGCTTTGATTAGCAAAGTGGGGTAATTGCCCAAGAATTTGAGTTTGGAAGAAGCAATGTGATTCAATCCTTGAAGATCTTTTGGGGCTTTAATGCTACTGTTCGAATCTGGGCTCATACATAATTGCATGCAAATCTTACTTAAAAGCTTAAATTCAAGTTCAAAGTGATCTTCATATGTATATATATGAACTCAATTTACTTTCTTTACACACTCGATGTGGAATTGCTTTCTCACTTGGGTTTCTAGCAGTTGTCACATGCAGTGGTTTCCAATCCACGTCATACAATAAAATCTTCGGGTTAGGTCCACATATTTAGAAAGCTTTGTACAATAAAACTCTAGGACTCAAACTAATCAGACTAATCAAAACTCCATATGAATCTCACTAATACTCCGTTTGATATAATAAAAAAATAGAAGGATGAAAAGTTAGAAAGATAAAAAGTTTGAGGGATAAATAAAACATCATGTTTAATAAGGAAGGAAAATAGGAAGGATGAAAAAGTGGATGAATTAACTTTCCTTTCAACTCAC